ACCCCTAAAAATCCCCATAAAAACCTAAATACCATTTAAAATCCCTACAAAAACATAAAGCTCTAAACTCTAAATTCTAAAAATATGTAAACCGTAAACCATAGCTACACAACAAAACCCTAAGCCCAAATCCCCAAATTATAAAAAACCCTAAGAAACATTTAACCCTAAAAAAAACTCAAGAACCCCTAAATCTAAAAAACTCTAAGCTCTAAACCCTATAAAGCCGTAAATCGTTTATGTTAAACCCTAAAAACACAAAAAAAAACCTTAGCCCTAAACCCTAAGCCTATAAGATCCTAAAAAACATTAACCTACCCAGAGCCCTAAACCGTAAAAACCTAGATAATAACCTTATCCTAAAACCCTAAACCTACAATAATACTAATCCTAAACCCTATACCCTAACCTAAAACCCTAAATCCTAAACTTTAAGAAACCCCAAATCCTATAAAACCTAAAGAAACCCTAAAACCCATTTAAAACCCCTACAAAACCCTAATCTCTAAACCCTAAATCCTAAAAATCCAAATTATAGCCTCCTGATTTCATGAATTTTTCCTCTCTCTAAAATTTTCTCTCTAGAATTTCTTAAGAAGTTAGCTTCCTCGGCTAATTTCACAACGTTTCAGCATCCATAGAATGGAAGGAGTTTGGCAGATGATCATTTTAGGCCACCCGATCCATCTACTGAGATGCACAAGCCAACTATATCTTCAAATCTTCAAGAATCGTCCTCAGAATCAACCTACAGCTCATCGCAGGTGAGAGAAGAGGCGATCCATACTGCAGCGGAAAGGGAGTTGGATGGAACTCGTTTTAATAATCCCAAGGAAGATTCCAGTCAAATTAGCGGAAAAGGGACTGGGGCAAAAGAATCCCACTCTCAAGATGTTCATAATAGTCAAAAATCCCATGATTTAACCGTCCCAATTGAGAGAAATCCACAGGCGACGAAGGGAGTGAATCGTCCCAACAGCGCCACCAAAATCGAAGCACTACGAAAGAAATTTGCGATGAATCTGATCTTGGGGAGGTAATATTGGTCGTGGTGGTCATAACAATGAAGCTTCAAGTACATTTCATGGTGGAATTGCCGGTTTAGGCGATCGTGGCGGAATTTCGGCAAAAAAATCTCAATACGCAGATGAGCCGCGTGTGTCATCACTGCCTCACATCCAAATTAGGAAGGAAAGCAACATGTTCAAGATTTGGGGCAATCTAACACTTCTCATATAAATGAGCAATTCATCAAGAAACAGGGTAAGGAACACAGGTATAATTCATAATGCTAATTCTCGTCTAACTGTGTTTCTTGCAAATCAAGCCCATCTGAATTCTGGTACTGAACATTTTAGAAAGAAAAATGACCAACAAAAAATTTGGGTTGCTAAAAGATCAAGGGAATACTAATACGATTAAGTCTACCACTAGAATTGATCAACAACAGGTTTATCAGGATAATTTTCCTAGAATTTCTAGTAATTTTGACAAACATGTTCCTAAAAATAATAATACTAATGTTCGAAATGATCGTCCTAATCCTTCTAATCCTCCCAATCCCCCCAAAACTGATCTTCTTGCTGCTCCGGCTCCTTATACAATAGTGCAAACTTATGCTGATCGTCTTAGATATAGTCAGTCCAAATGTGATATTCCCATTACTTTGACTGCTCCTGAAATCACCACCAAACACGGCCTGCCTATTTTTTTGTATGTGAAAGAAGAGGTGATGAGAGATTTAGCAGCAGCCTGCAAATATACTCTCATTGGGAAAATTTAGTTACACCATGCCTAAATTGGAACTTATTAGAAATAACTTCATATTGCAAACTCAATTATCGGGTGGTGTTAAAATTGCTCATTTTAATTCTAGACATGTGTAAATTGATCTTGATAATGAGCTTGATTACAATATGGTTTGGACAAAGTTGGACCAGGTGATGCGAATTCAAGTGTGGACTCCTAATTTTAAACCTGCTTAAGAAACTCCTATAGTCCCTATTTGGATCTCTCTGCCTGAGCTACCTTGGCATTGCTATAATAAAGAGTTTGTTTCTGGCTTACTCTCTCTCCCCTATTGGCAAGGTTTTATACTTAGATTCTGCTTCTATTAAAAAGACTAGGGGTAGTCATGGTAGGGTTAAGGTTAAAGTTGATCTTACTCATAAGAGATCCCCTTAAATATGGATGGGTTATATAGGGAGGATATCACTGATGATAGATGGCAGAAAATAGATTATGACAATATTCCTGATTATTGTTTCTATTGTAAGCATCAAGGTCATTTAGAAAATGAGTGTACCATAAGACAAAGAGATGAGGATAGAAAGAAAAAGGATATGGAGGCTGTGAGGAATAAGAATAACAAAGAGATGGAACATAATACACAAACTAAGGATCAAAAAGAAGGTGATCAGAAGGAAGGTACCAATCAACAATATAACCAACAAAGAGATCAGGAACAAATTCAGCATCAGCAAGAGGAGCATTGGCAAACACAAAAAAAGAGGAACAATAATCAACCTTTGGCAACTCAAGGCAATGTTAGACAAACAGAATAGACCACCAAACATGCAGGTATAACTACTATTCCTACACAAAATACATATATTAATCTTAATGTGCAGGAGTCATCACCTAGTCTAGAGGTTTTGGACAAATTCAAAGGCAACATAAGTGATAGCAGACTTCATACAGCAGCAACAAAGTAGCAGGGTCAACATGAGTATACCAGGAAAATAGCAAATGCTGGAAAAGACAAAACTAACAAGTAATTACAGGTGGATATAATTTCTAACTAGGTAACAGAGATCAACAAAGGCAAGGTAGTTTATACAGGACAAGCTGGTACATGTATTGAATCAATGCTCCCATCCCCTAATCCCATTGATAATGTTGTTAATGTTATTGTTGAGGGAGTTGTTGGAGGTTTGGATGAGAGGGGACAGGAGACAGATACTGACCTGCAGAGGGGGGGAACTGACTCATGGTAGACATGAGGAAGTGGAATTTGACCATAGAGGAGACTTTAGAGCCCCTGCTACCCCCTTCAAGAATCAACAGACACTTGCCACTCCACAGGTCACAAATACAGGGGAACAACAGGGCAGATTTAATAACAAATCAGGGGACAGATTGAGTAAAAAGAAAAGAGAGGCTATAAAAAAGAGATTGCAACAGAATATTGGTAAAGATACAGTTGGGATAGATACAGGTCAACAGACTGAAGGCAATGTTGATGCCCAGGTTACTGAGGGTAACATGGCTAAGGTGCCTCCTGATGATTATGGGGCACTCAATTCTGAGGATGATCTGGATCCTGATAATCAATCTTTGGAGGACTCTGATGAAGAAACACCAGATGCCCAGCCATATACTGGTCAAGTATTTTGTTCCTCCTTCAAGGATAAAGTTACTAATGTTCAGAGAATGACAGAACAACATGATTTATCCCCTAGAGGAAGGAAACAAACTAGGCACAACCCTCAACAAAATATTACTAGCAAATCTGACACTTCTAGCAGGCCCATGACTAGATCCAAATCAAAAGGTTATTAATAAGCAAAGATATTTACTGGAATGCTAGAAGTATCAATACCAAAGGATCCTTGGAAAGGCTTCATGCACTCAAGAATATGCATCATTTATCTATTATTGCTATCCTAGAGCCATTTGCAGATAACTCTCAGCTTATAAGGTAAGGGGTCAACTACAGATGGATCATGCAGTCAGTCATGCTAATGGGAAAATTTGGCTCTTTTGGTCTAATGAAGTGACTGGTCAGATTTTGGAAAAACATGATCAACCTATCACAGTAACTTTTCATCACATAGATAATTATGAGAAATTAATGATGTCCTTTATCTATGCTAAATGCAAGGAATATATGAGGAGAGCTTTGTGGGAAAGGATTAATTTTTATGCTAATATGGATTTACCCCGGTGTACAATTGGTGATTCCAATGTTATCAGCTCTGTTGAGGAGAAACTTGGGGGAATACCTTACAATATGAATAAGAGCTTTGAATTTATTGGATTTATAGAGGCATGTGGATTGACTGATCTAGGATACACAGGGTTATCATTCACATGGTGCAATCAAATGGATGCAGAAGCTAGAGTTTGGAAGAGATTAGATAGGGCTATTGTTAATGATAAATAGTTAGAGGTTATGCCACAAACTACCATTGAAAATTTATCTTCTGTTCGTTCTGATCATAGTCCTACGTTGATGGAAATGAATAGGGTTACAGAGAGTCATATCAAATATTTCAAGTTCCAACATTTTTGGGTTGACATTGTCACTTTCTTGAAAATAGTCCAACAGTGCTAGGAAAAGGGAGTTACTGCCAATCCAATGTGGAGATTACATCAAAAAATAAAAAGAGTCACATCAACACTTACCAACTGGTCTAAAAGAGAGTATGGTGATATCTTTACTAAGGTTAAGGAATTTGAGGACACTATCAGGAAATCTGAAGAAGAGCTTATGACAGACAACCCTAAACTATAAGAAATCGTAAATCCTATAAACCCTAAAAGAAACTCTAAAAACAATTTAAAACGCCTACAAAACCGTAATCTCTAAACCCTAAGTTCTGAAAATCCGTAGACTATAAAACTAAAATACACAAATAAACCCTAAGCCCTAAACCATAAACACTAAGAAACACTTAACCCTTAAAAAGCTTAAAAAACCACTAAACCTAAAAAACTCTAATATATAAACCCTATAATGCCCTAAATCGTTTATACTAAACCCTATAAATACACATAAAATATATTATAAGCCCTAAATTCTAAAACATACAAAACATTAAAAAGCATTAAACTAAAAATCCAAAACGCTAAACCCTAATAACCTAGATAAAACCCTTAACCCAAATCCCATAACCTAAAAAAAACCTCTGAAAACCCTATATCCTAAACCTAAAGACCTAAGAATCCCTAAACCCTTAACCTTAGGAAACCCGAAACCCTAACCTAAAACCCTAAATCTTAAACCTATAACCATAAATCCTAAACTTTAAGAATCCCTAAATTCTATAAACCCTAAAGAAATCCTATAACCCATTTAAAACCCCTACAAACCCCTAATTTCTAAGCCATAAATCCTAAAAATCCGTAAATCCTAAAACTAAAATACACAAATAAACACCAAGCCATAAACCATAAACCCTAAGAAACACTTAACCTTTAAAAACCCAAAAACTGCTAAACCTAAAAAAACTTTAAGCTCTTAACCCTCTGAAACCCTAATTCGTATACGCTAAACCCTAATAAAACACAACCTAAAACCCTAAACCCTAAACTATATGAAACAGTAAATCCTATAAACCCTAAAAGATGTTCTAAAAACAATTTACAATGCCTACAAAACCGTAATCTCTAAATCCTAAATCCTAAAAATTCGTAAACCATAAAACTAAAATACACAAATAAACCGTAAGCCCTAAACCCTAAACACTAAGAAACAATTAACCCATAAAAAGCTTTAAAAAACCACTAAACCTAAAAACCTGTAACATATAAACCCTATAATGCCCTAAATCGTTTATGCTAAACCCTAAAAATACACATAAAAAATATTATAAGCCTTAAACTCTAAAACTTACAAAACACTAAAAAGCATTAAACTAAAATACAGAGCCCTAAACCCTAAATACCTAGATAAAACCCTTAACCCAAAAACCATAACCTAAAAAAAAACCTCAAAAAACCCTAAATCCTAAACCTAAAGCCCTAAGAAACCCTAGACCCTTAACCTTAGGAAACCCCAAATCCTACTAACCCTAAAATCGACCCTAAAAACCCTAAATACCATTTAAAACCCCTTCAAAACCCAAAGCTATAAACTCTAAATTCTAAAAATATGTAAACCGTACACCATAGCTACACAACAAAACCGTAAGCCCAAAACCCTAAACTTTAAAAAACCCTAAGAAACATATAACCCTAAAAAACTCGAGGACCCCTAAATCTAAAAAAATCTAAGCTCTAAACCCTATAAAGCCCTAAATTGTATATGTGAAATCCTAAAAACACAAAAAAAACCTTTTCCCTAAACCCTAAACCTATAAAATTCAAAAAAAAATTAACCTACCTAGAGCCCTAAACCGTAAAAACGTAGATAAAAACCTTAACATAAAATCCTAAACCTACAAAAACACTAATCCCTAAACCCTAAATCCTAACCTAAAACCCTAAATTCAAAACTTTAAGAAACCCTAAATTTTATAAACCCTAAAGAAACCCAAAAACCCAGTTAAAATACCTACAAAACCCTAATCTCTAAACCCTAAATCCTTAAAATCCGTAAACCCTAAAACTAAAATACACAAATAAACCCTAAGCCTTAAACCCTAAACCCTAAGAAACACTCAACCTTTAAAAACCCTTAACATCCCAAAAACCGCTAAACCTAAAAAACTTTAATCTCTTAACCCTATATAACCCAAATTCGTATATGTTAAACCCTAAAAAACACAAAATAAAACCCTATGCCCTAAACTTTAAATCCTATAGAACCCTAAAAAGCATTAACCTTAAAACCAAAAGCCCTAAACCCTTAAAACCTAGATAAAACCCTTTCTGTAAAACCCTAAACATAAAATATTTCTATGACCTAAACCCTAAACCCTAACCTAAAACGCTAAATCATAATACTAAAACCCTAAACCCTAAACTATAAGAAACCGTAAAGCCTATAAACCCTAAAAGAAACTCTGAAAACAATTTAAAATGCCAACAAAACCATAATCTCTAAACCCTAAGTCCTAAAAATCCGAAAACCATAAAACTAAAATACACAAATAAACACTAAGACCTAAACCCTAAACACAAAGAAACATTTTACCCTTAAAAACCTTAATAACCCAAAAACCGCTAAACCTATAAAACTCTAATAAATAAACCCTATAAAGCCCTAAATCGTATATTCTAAACCCTAAAAATACACATAAAAAAAAATTTGTGCCCCAAAGTGTAAAACCTATAAAACCCTAAAAAGCATTAAACTAAAAATCCAAAGCCCTAAACACTAAAAACCTAGAGAAAACCCTTAACCCAAAACCCATTTTCTAAAAAAAAAACCCTCCGAAAACCCTAAATCCTAAACCTAAAGCCCTAAGAAACCCAAAACCCTAAAATCGAGCCCAAAAACCCTAAATACCATTTAAAACCCCTACAAAACCCAAAGCTCTAAACTCTAAATCCTAAAATCTGTAAACCGTAAACCATAGCTACACAACAAAACCCTAAGCCCAAAACCCTAACCTCTAAATAACCCTAAGAAACACTTAACCCTAAAAAACTCAAGAACCCCTAAATTAAAAAAACTCTAAGCTCTAAATCCTATAAAGCCCTAAATCGTATATGTTAAACCCTAAAAACACAAAGAAACCTTAGCCCTAAACCCTAAACCTATAAAATTCTAAACATTATTAACATACCCAAAGCCATAAACCGTAAAAACAAAGATAAAAACCTTAACCTAAAACCCTAAACAGACAAAAACACTAATACCTAAACCCTAAACCCTAACCTAATACCCTAAATCCTAAACCTATAACCTTAAATCCTAAACTTTAAGAAACCCTAAATACTATAAACCCTAAAGAAACCCTAAAACCCATTTAAAGCGCCTACAAAACCATAATCTCTAAACGCTAAATCCTAAAAATCCGTAAACCCTAAAACTAAAATACACAAA